TCAGAGGAATGGTGGAGTGAGAAATTGAAGATAATAACCAAACCACTGATGACTTGTTTTTTCATTCTTTATCAATTTATGTTGTTTTAAATAATAAACTTGCTCATATATTGCAAGCAGTGTCAGCCGCCAAGAAATTCAAATTCAGTGGCATTGAGTCGGATCTGGAGGAGAAGTTGGACTGAATATTCAGTGAAGTTATTGCGACGAGCACACATGCATTCATCTCAAGTGAGCATGGGTTTGCAAGCATAACAAAGGACTAAGAGACCGGTCAGGTAAGTGGGCCCGGTGAGGCCCCAACCTAAACCAGAAGGAGATCGAGTTCACATGCCAGTCAAAGCGGCCTAGGGTGGAGAAAAGGAAAAAAGAATGAGCTTCTTTCGTTAGAAGCCAAATCACAAAATTGGTATAAGCATGTACAATTAAGGTTGGTACTTCACATGAAACCTCTATAAATGACTTTCTTCGAGTTTTGGAGACATATCCTGAAGTTTGATCGGATAAGCCGTTCTATCCGAACTCCTTGAAAACTCTGGTATGTATCTAAATGCCATTTTAAGTTTTATATTTGAGTTTCACTTTCATGTGGAACATTGGTTTAATATCAAGAAAATTATATTAATAGTTTGGGCTCATATATTTTATAGACATTGCAGGCTAAGTATCGTTTCTGAAGTCAAATAGAGAAATAGAACATTAATGTTTATATATATTCAGAAGTTTTAAATACAAACCACTCAATTCCTATACTTACCAAACAAGTGAAATTTATATGCATGTAACACAATTTTTATGTATTTACATATCTAACACTTAAAACTTTAATATTTACACTAATAGTAGGTTAGTGTCATTAATCACTGCAAGGAAAATTATATGTCACATTTAAAAGATAATGACGGCAATTATTTTGATGTGATATTAAAAAATCGAGTGATATGCATATAAATATAAAGTTTTCAGTGTTAAATATATAATACTTAGGTGATATGTACGAAAAATTTCCATTAAATTAATGTTCTTTAGTTTGTTTTCGAGCAATATTATCATAACATGTTCAAATTTAATGAACAAAATAGGCACATAAATTTGCATATTGTAAATAGAAAAAGAAAGTAAATGCTGAAATTCATCCAAAACAACTCTATAAAAGAAAAAGTATCCAAAATTTTCATGAAAAAAAAAAAACAAATCCAATAAAATATTTGAAATAAATGTAAAACTAACTAATTTCATTCGAGATGACCGACGCTCT